ACAATCTAAGGCATTTATTAACGATTTTGTCTATTTTGTTTAAATGACACTGTGATGCGTCACTGTATAATATTGATCCATAGTCGATTATAGCTCTTATATTATTTTTAAATAATAACAAAGAAATATTTGGATCTGTTCCCCATCGTAAGTGTGACACGAATCGAAGAAGATTTATTCCCTTTTCTGTTTTTTTAACTATATTGTCTATATGTTCTTTCCAGAGAAGCTGTCTATCAAGAGTAATGCCCAAATATTTAACATATTTTTGCACTGGATAGGAGACATTGTTTATTAAGATGTAGTTGGGTATCTCTTTTCGTTTTCTTGAAAAAATACATAATTTAGTTTTCGAATCAGAGATATTTAGTCCATGTAAATCACTCCATGTTTTAATATGATTGACTCCTTCTTCAATGGATTTGACTGCATTTTCTATTTTAATGTGTTCTTGATAAATGACTATATCATCTGCAAATTGTAAAATTTTTGTGGAGTTTAAATTTTTAACCAACAGTGTAAATTAAATATAACAATGGGCGTAATATTCCTCCTTGAGGTAAACCATCCATCGCTAGCCTTGGACCAATTGTGTTACAATTTACCGATATATAAATTTTTCGACAGTCATATAGTTTTATTATTTTTTTACAGAAACATTCGGGAAGACCTATTTGTGTCATTTTGTTGTACAGTATAGTTAAATTAACGTTGTCGTATGCTGATTCCACATCTAATAAAAGAGCAGTTACTGAAGAATTTGACGTAAACGCTAAATTTATATCTGTTACCAAGTGGCTCACTGCTTCCACAGTAGAATGATTTTTACGAAATCCAAATTGTGTTTGTGATAGTTTATTATTTTTTTCCAACCATCTTTCGAGCCTAAGTTTTATCATTCTTTCCAGTGTTTTTGTTATGCAGGAGCTTAATGAAATACCTCTATAAGATTCTACCGAATCAGAATTTCGATTTGCTTTAAGTATGGGAATCACCCGGTACTCTCTCCAACTATCTGGAATATCTTCTGATTGCCATATTTGATTAAAAATTTTTAATAGTGTTTCTTTTCCTTTTTGATGTAAATTTGCCAACATAATATAATGTATATTATCTATTCCCGGAGACGTGTTTTTCTTGTTCTTAAGATTTATTTCTAATTCGTATAAACTAAATGGCAGTGAAAGTGGATGATTAGAGTTTTTACTTTCCATTACATTAATTTTTGAAAATATATTATCTGGACATAATTTTCTCAAAAACTCCTCAACCCATTCTCCTTCGGTCACTGGATTTATTTGTGGTTTAAAGATGTTTTGTAAACGTTTGACTTGATTCCACATATTTTTTATTGGTGTATTTTTGTTTAAATTTTCACAAAAAATTTTCCATGCATTACGCTTACTTTTTAATATAACTTTTTTCGTTTCTGCTATACACTTATTATAATTTATATAATTTTGTATATTGGACTGTAACTTAAACTTGCGTAAAGCAAGTTGTTGTGCTTGAATAACCTTTTTACAATTGTCATTCCACCAAGTTTTCCTAAATCGTGGACTAGTCCCTGTTCTTTTCTCCGGTATGCATATTTTACAATATTCGTTTAATTTATTTAAAAATTGTTGGTAATCTAAATTATTATCGCATTCCATGAAATTATCAGTGATAGAAGAGAAAAGAGACCAGTCCGCTTTATTTATATTCCATTGGAATTTTGTGTTTACACATTCCGCTTTATTAACATTAATATTTGACTTTATAACAATAGCAAAATGATTTGATCCTAAAGTATTGTCCACAACATCCAAATCGAAACAATGACTAATATTTGCTGAGCATATTGTAAGGCCTATGGCCGATTTATTAATACTATTAGGTCTACGCATCAAAGTTTCTTTGCCGTTATTTAAAAGTACGAGATTACAGTCCTCAATAGCTTCTAACAGATTTTTTCCTATAGTGTCTACAGTACTACAACCCCAAACATAATTGTGGCTATTAAAATCACCACCAATTATAAAAGGCTTCTCCATACTATTAAAAAACTTTTTCCATTCATTTACCGTAATTTTGAGATTTGGTTTTACATAAATAGAATAAATGTTAATCTTTTTACCGGTTTTAATTTTTATTGATAAGCTATTACACATTACGTCATTGATTGGATGAAAAGTAGGAGTATTATCAAAATTAATTTTTTTTTTTCAATAGTATGGCCACACCACCATATCCATCATCCCTATCATTCCTAAAGATATTATAACCAGTAAAGTTAATAAAGCTACTTTTCTTTAACCATGTTTCTGACATTAGTCCTATATCTATTTTATTGTCATATAAAATTTTTTCTAAATAACCCTTATTTGTTTTAATTGACCTTGCATTCCATTGAAGAAATGATATGCTAGCCATCACGATTTAATAATAATTGTAAAATATTGTTTTTAAGTAATTCTAACGTTTTTTCATCTAAATTGTGATTAATCTGATTTAAAGTTGTTGAAATAAAGTTTACTATAATTTCTCCTATATTACTTTGATTATCGTTTTGTATTTGTGTTTTATTATGATAAATTGGGCTGTTAAAATTAAACAAGGCTGACTTTGTACTTTTGGAGTTTGCAAGATTTTTCTGTGCGCTTCCATTATCTCTCTGTCTACGTTACTAGAATTAATACTATTTGATCGTTTTCGTTTATAGATTGTATATTTATTAGAAGTACTTTCTTGCTCTTTACTTACTGTTGAATAATATTTTCTATATTTATTATTAGCTTCGTAATATGTTATATTTTCAGTATTCATAATCTTTTTAATACACTCCTGTTTTTCCCTTTCCGTACAATTTGCTCCCTTGTCAGTAGGGCTATGTTTTCCTTTGCAGAATACACAAAATAGATTGTTAGGATTGGAACAATTTGATTTATTATGTTCTTCACCGCATCTTTCACACCTATCTTTTCCCCTACATTGAACACGTATATGCCCAAATTTCAAGCACTTTAAACATTGTAGCATTCTGGGTGTGTAATTTTCAACCTCGTATATCATTTTTTCTATTACTACGTTGGTAGGTATAGACTGACCTTAAACGTTACTATTACAGTTCCAGTTTTAACATAGATAGTTGATCCATTTTCTTGTACCACTTTCCGCATTATTCTTTTTACATGTAAGACTTTAAACCTCATTCCAAACCTAGGTTGAATTAATGATAACAAATCATCCTCTTCTATCTCTTTATCTACAGATTTTATAACACCTTTTCTTTGGGTAAAAAACGTCGGAATATATGGCTCGTACTGTTTGCTTTTTAAATTATCAGATTCAATTAATTTATTAGCACTAGTAAAATTATTAAGTTCTACCTTAATTTTATTCCTACCAACTACCGTGATTTGTGTGATATTATTTTTAATTTCAGGTACTGAACGTAAAATTAATCGGGCCGTGCCTATCCTGTGTAATTTGCCGATATTACCGTTTTTATTTTCTATATGTACTATGTATGGTGCACTATCTCCTAATTTATATCTATTATTTAATCTTAAATTTATAACTTTATTTAAATTTGGATTACCTGATCTATCTATTTTATTAAATTGTGTCAAAGCGTCGTTATTAAAATCAAATTGGTTACTTACCTCCTTAGTGCTAATTGTTTGGTTTTTTTCGTTTGTTACCTTATTTATTGTTATGTTGCTATTTTTTTTAATTCTTCAAATTCCATCGTCCTATCTTCTCCAAATTCTACATAAACTTTCCCTCTATCTGGAGGCTTCGGTGGAATTTCTTCCATGTCGTTTTTTTTTATTACACTACCTATACACGAAATATACACTTTCTTCCAGACCACTAGTTTAATGTGTCTTTATCACTGCAAGTGATACTGTGAAAGTGAAGAAAAAACCTTTAAAATTGATATTTTTTGTAAGAGCTTCAAAATAATGCGCCTTTCGATTTGACGTTTATTTGACAGATGAACATTTAACTTTAACAAGAATTCAAATTCTACTCTCCAATGACGGCATGCGCGAACCCGACCGATTTTGTGCTACGGGAAGATCCTATCTTGTTATTTTAGTATCATGTCTATAATCAGTCACTTATATACTTATTGCTCGATGCTTAATATATGAAATCGAGTTAGATGATACTGACTATAAGATAAGCAAAGGCGCATGTTTTTTGACGTTATTGGATAGTTGCATTTTCGAAATGTCAGTTTTAATTAAATATTAATAAATAGTCTAATAAGTACATAATTGGAAATTTCCTTATAAATAATTTTCATGTGATTTATTTAACATAACCTAACTTATTTTGACGTCTTGGTAATTTCATCCTTGTCAAATGCATCTCAAATGGCACTTCCTGTCTATCAATATGTTTAACTACCTTTACATTCCCTCTTTTGTCTTATTGCTCGATGCTTATATATCATCGAGTTAGATGATACTGACTATAAGATAAGATATTGCGCATGTTTTGTGACGTCATTGGAGAGTTGCACGTTCGAAATGTCAGTTTTTTGTATATATCAATAAATAATCTTTAATAAATAGTTTGGAGATATCCTTATGTGTACGATTATTGTATTTATTAAACCTCTTAACTTATTTTCGTCTGGTAATTTCATCACAGAATGCATACAAATCCCATTTAACTTTAACAAGATTTCAAATTCTACTCTCCAATGACGGCATGCGCGAACCCGACCGATTTTGAGCTACAGGAAGATCTTCCTGTAGCTCAATAAATTCGGTTCATAGTATGGTATTGCGCATCTAACTTACGTGGTTACTTTACTTCTTACTTCACACATGCTTCACACTTCACAGTTCACCGTTCACGCACGCGTTCGTCGCGTTGACTTCACTTACCTCATCTGATTTATGACTTACACATTACACTACTGTTGTGTTATAAGGGTCTATATTCTTTGGTTATACTCTGCTTTTTAGTTTTTCTTTTTAAAGTGAACAGGAAATAAGACAATGAGAATAAGTGTTAATAAATCTAACCCCCCTTTAGGTGAGTTTAAGGCTTTTACTTTAATAATTTATCAACATGCGTTTTTCAGGAGGCTTATTTCTTGCTGAATATGTAAAATTAGTTAAAAACGTCCCCTTGGAAATTTCATGGGGTTCGGACACAGTTGTCGAAAATACGAATTGCAAAAATAGCAATGATGTAGCGAGGACTATTGCCAGATCATTTTATCCCCAGTTGTATGGAAATTCAGCTCTTGAAACTACAGAAGTAGATAACTGGTTAATGCTTTCCCTTGGACCACTTAATTATAAAAGCGAAATTACCAGTGTTTTAGAAACATTAAATAAGGTTTTAAGTTCAGTTACTTATTTGGTTGGTAAAAGAATTACTGCTGCTGATTTTGCTGTATTTGGTAGCTTATATAGTAAGTACTTATATTTTATACAAGATGCATATTTTGAGCACGTAATTTAAGTTATTACGACCTTAAAATGACATAGTGATGAAAATTTTAAGTTTCTAATTGCAAATGTACTTTAAATCAATCAAACATATGGTTATGAGGAATGGGGAATAGGCTCAAACATTCTGTTACTCTAAGACATACAATACAGCCTCTGCAATCCCTAAGAAATAAGTAGAAGTTTATAATTTAAAATGTCTGATCTGATGTCTGTCTGTTATTAGGTACTGGTGATAACGAGTTTGGATAGCGCCGTTATCATATCTCAGGGATTATTTAGACTTTTCAAAAACTTAGGAAACTTGTTTGGTATAGTCCAGTTGCTCAACTCAGAAATATTTTGAGATTCATTGTCAGAAACATTCAACAAAAATTCCAGATATCATCTAGAGAACATTGTGGTGAAGGTAGCTACAAAGAACATTCATAGGAGGAAGTATTTGCATTAAGTGGTGTTGCCATGCCCTTATAATTATATCAGTCGGTTAACAGTGTTAACCTGTCAACTCCAGAATGGTAAAGTTTTCAGGAGATGAAAAAATTCCTTCAACCTTAGTTTATTAAAAACTAAGGTTGAAGGAATTTTTTTATCACAACTATTTATTAACTATAGTATAGGAGTTATTTAACTATTTTTCTTTAAATAATGTTCATACATTTAGTTTACGGAACTAAAAAATGGAGTTGGTCGAATTTCGATAATATATGTTGAACCCCATCTGGAGTTGATAGTTATATTTTTATACATGAAAAATTAAAAAAATTTATTTTCATTTATCTATTTACACTAGAATATAACATAGTTTTAATAAAATGATCAGTAACTTAAACTCTACAAAATTAATACTAATTGATACTACAAAAAAAGCAAAACTTATAAAATTTAAAACAAAAATTGTTCTACATCTACCGTTTTTCGTGAGGAACATTGTCATAATATTCATGGTAGTCAGCCGGTAAATTAGATTTTAACTCTTATAAATCTGTATACTCTTTAGTTTATATTTTTATACAGTTTACATGCAGACTATCAAGTTCACGGCAAGAACAAGTCTCCATAGGCTTTGGTATACGCTGTGGAGTCTCCCATTCATCATTAAAGGGCAATTAAAAAAAATAATCCATTTGCAATGTATACTCTGTTCGCTGTATCTTTGCACATCAGAGTTGTACGAATTAAATCAAAGCGTTTAAATCATATGTAAGTCTTTTCTAGATTCATGAAATAATTAGGAAATGTTTAATATCACGTTAAATGTATTTATAGTGATTGTTTTTGTTTATTTATTGTACTGGATGCTAAAAACTCATTATAGAATTGATTTGAACATAATTTTGAGTTTTCTACGTATTCAATGTTATTATGATTATTGGAAGAAATGCTCTATTTGAAATACTGTTGTCAGAAAGATGGACCTAGGATCAAACAGCTTAAATTCTCATATTTATTTTTTTATTTATACACCAAAGCATCCAACCGCCAAAGCCAGTTACTGGATGAAAAAGTTTTCATTCAAAATACAATATTAAACATTTACATCGTATACATATGACATTCAATTTTTAAGCTTAAGCATAAGAAAATGCCCTAAATGATAAAAAACTCTTGTGCATTCTTTTCGAACTAAGTTACCAACACAAAAATAAATTAAACTTTACAAAACAAAACAATAAAAACAATGAAAAAAGAAAAATTTCGAAAATACATTAATTTGTAGAAAACTTAAAGGGAGTTACAAATTAGTGCTCAATTTGTTAGGCTAAAATAATATGACTTTCCTTATGTCGCATACCTAGAGACTTAGTATTTATTTTTTTATACTAGCTGGTTTTTATCAATTTTTTTTACTTGTGTATCAAACTTCTCTGTAGTTTCCTAAATAAATTGTGAAAAGTTATGTCTAAAAGGTTTTATTGTTTCAGCCTAAAGAATGAATTAATTACTTTGTTACAACCTATTTCCACAAATATGACTAAATTATTAAAATAAATTGAAAAAAAAAACAAAATATCAAAATTATATATTTTCTTCACTTTCAGAATCCGAGCTATCTTCAGAATTTATTATGATGGGTTGAATATCAATATTAACTATATTTTGCTCTCACTTTTGAATAATTTTATGAGTATGTTTTACACATTTTTCCCAAATGTCTGCATTACATTGATTAACTTTCCACTGATCTTTCCACAAATATTTATAACAGCACTATCAGAATAGCTGTCTCTACCTCTATCAGAATATGCTTATTGTAACATGACTTGCAATTTGACCAAATTAATTCAATAGCGTTGAATTCACAATGACAAGGAGGTAGTCTCAACACTTCATGACCATGCTCTCTTAGTAACTCATCAATAACATACACATTTTCTTTTTTATTCATTTTTGCAACTTGTAATAATTCAGGTTTTGTAAATTTTGGATCAAATTGGATGATATTTGTTGTCAGCCAGGTAACAATTTCATCTTTTTTTGAATCAGTGGTAGGTTGCTTTTCTAAAAGAACACTATGATATGGAGCATTATCCATTACAATCAACGATGGTTCTTCTAAATTGGGAATTACTGGTGTCCTTATCAACTTAGTAAAAATGTCGTTGTTCATTTCTCCATGGTAATCAATATGTTTAGACTTAGAACAAAACAATAAACTTGCTTCAGAAGCAAATCCTTTAGAAGAACCAATGTGAACAATTATGAAATATTTACCATCAAAATCTTCTGGTTTATGTACACTTTTGCTACTAGTGTCTTGTCAGGAAGTTGCTTTATTTCCTTTTGAATAAATCCATGTTTCATCCAAAAAACAAGTTCTCGTGGATGCACACTTTCCAGGTTTTCAAAGTACTTACGAAAGAATTTTGCTCTTAAAGCAGCAATATTAGTTCGTTCGAATAATGATCTTCGATTGTCATCCTTTTTATATTTAAATCCTATATCTCTCAGTACAATGCTCAAGGATGGTTTTCCCATAGCAACAACTTCTTTTTCCTCTAATTCACATTTATTCAAACTTTGGAGACTAACATGTTTTTCTAAAAAAAAAACTAGTAATAATAGTGAAATTTTATTTTAGAAGTGGTTAGTTTTCATGTGAAACATCTATTGGCTGGGGTATAAACCAGATCGTTTTTATTTTGTACAATATCAACTTATACTTACTTTGTAGGTACCGTTCCCGTCATAAAAAACTGGTACAACTCTTATAACCGAAAATCGTGTTTTTCAAGTTGTGTAAGTTGAGCTTGTCACATGTGTCATTCTAATTTCGAATGCAACGATGCCAGTTCAACGAAAATAATATATCAAACCAGCTAAAAGCAGAGCTGTGCGACTGGTCGCAAGTTTTTAGTATACTAAAAACTAAAACAATATCGAGCATTCTCGATCAGTCAGTCACATTTATATTATACATTTATTTAAACATACATCTTAAAAAATTCTATTAATTTTGAAATTTTCCATTCTCTTAGTACCCATACATTGATTCGTGTTTTAATATAATTTATAACAATATTTCAATTCAAAAATAATGATAGATAATAAATCTAGACATGACTTTAAATTTATGTTTAATTTCAAATCGAGAGGTGTGATTGGTTTCTCGTAAAGTGTAGCACAAAACTGTATTGAGTTGTGGAATACTACAGTAAATAAAACCCACTAGAAAAAATTAAAATTTAATTTGAAATTAATAAAAAATGAATAATTTTTACAGTGACCAAGTGTGGAATTTAAATATATGTATTACAATTCGAAAAGTTCATATTTTGTCATAGCTCCATTATTATTAATCACTTCTTGTAATCTTCTGGGAACTGAGTTAATTAAATTTAGTGATAAATTTTCATCTTCGGCCAAGCTTTCCCAGGTTTCTTCAATGATGGTCCATGATCTCTGTTTTGGGGAACTACATTTAATTTTTGTATTTTGTTGATCATAAGTCCCCAAACATTCTCTATTGGATTAATATCTGGACTTTTAGAGGGCAATGGAAGAGCTTCAATGCTATTTTCCATAAGGTAATCCCGTACACGGTGGGCTGTGTGGATTGAACAGTTATCATGCTGGAAAATAAAATTATTGTTGGGAAAAATTTCCGTAACCGATGGCAACATCACATTATCTAATATATGTAAATAGGTTTCAGTATTAAATCGTCCTTCATTTCTCCAACACATTCCTAAACCTCCTCTATACATCCAAGCCCAAACATTTATAGAGAACCGTCCGGACTTAACACTTGATGAAATATAGTTTTTGTTAAACTTATTTCGAGGCAGTCTATAAACCCTAATATGGCCATCATAATGAGACTGGAATACTTTTTCATCAGTAAAAATTACACGGTCCTAAAAATTGACTGGATCATTTAAAACGTAATTTAAAGCAAATAGGAGTCTACTTTATGTTCCTCGCTAAGTTTGTATTTTTGGGCGGCTGCACAATTTTTTAAATCTGTTCTTCTAATTCTCCTTAATGCTGTAGTTATAGAAGCATTAAAGTTTATATTAACTTTTGCTTGCCTTGTCGTATGGAAGAGATACGCTCTTAAATAATTAGTTAATGTTTCATCTTGTTGGGCTGTAGTAATAACTGGTCTCCCACTCCCTCTTCTTCTATCCAAAGTCTGCTCGTTTTCCCATCTTTTTTTAATGTTGTGGATTGTGGTTTTGCTTCTATTTAGGTCTTGAGCCAGTTGTCAAATAGACCAACCATCTTCTATTTTTGAAATTATTCTCGTTTTATCAAACTGACTTAACTGACGTGGCATCTTTAAAAATTCACTTTGACAAACTTGTCAAATCTGACGGATGGCAAGCAATATTTTTATGTTTAATTGTTCGGATATGTTTGGGACGCTTTCACGCACTGATAACATCTGAAGATACTAAACCAGCATTTTTCAGTTATAAGAGGATTTTTTACAGTTATAAGAGGATAATGTAATACTGTC